GACCTAATCATAATTTCAATCAAGGAATTTTTTTCTGGTTTTTCCTTAAATTTAGAAAAACAAAAAACATTATCTAATATAAAATTCCATATTTTTAATTAAGTTTTAATCTGTGCAAAATACATAATTCCTATACTAGTATATTTAGTACCCATTTAAACTGCAGAAATTATCATAATATCAGTAGTGCATATTACCAAAAATAACTGCCTTTTAGTTCATAGCTTATTTTATTTTAACTTCTAAGTATTTCCTATTACCAATATTAATAAAGCATCATTGGCTTCAATAACAATATGAGGATGTTTTTTAATGTTTCTTCGTACAATTTCTGTTGATTTTAAATTATTTAGTTTTATAGAAAAATATTTTAAAATAACTATACACAAAATTAACTCACGAGGAGCTTTGGAAGAGCTAATTTTGGGAACGAAGAGCTAATTTTGGAAATTCAGCCTATGCTACCACCTTCATATAAATAATTGAGTTTATCTAACATAACGGGTAAAAATTAATTAAATATAAAAGAACGTGCAACATACTTTTGAGAGTTATATTTTATTCTTATCTCGCCCAGACCTAATTTAGGGCATACGAGAGTTGATACATACACAAATGATACATTAAAAATACGTAAATCTCTAAAAGTTACATCAACAGTGAATATAAAAATCTGAATATCTAAAATAATGTTCAGTACAATTCTATAAAACAAGTTAAAACCAAATAAAATAATAAAGTAGTAAAAAGGTTAAATTAAAAAAAAAAAACACAAAATCACCCAAAAACCAATAAATGTTAAAACTTTGCAGGAACATGTAAAACAGTGATAAAATATAGAAGTTAAAATTCGATAAAGAGGTTAAAAGGCAGAACAAGTTAAGAATCAAAACAATCAGTTAAAAGTTGATAAAAACAATGCTTGTTAAATTAAAAATTTATAAAAACAATACAAGTTAAAACGTAGAGAAGTTAAAAATGAAATTAGATAGATACACAATACACCAGCAATAGTGTTCGCAGGCTCCGAGCATAGTTAAATGTGGTTCAGAGTGTCCTCCAATGTTACCTTTATAATTTGTTTAACTATGTTTCTACAGACCAACTTAGCAAAGCATTGGTGCAAATTTTGCCCTGCAAAATGGTTTCCACGGAGTGTCTGGAAGTGTGGGCAGTTCAAGATCAAGTGTTCGATTGTCTGATTGTCCCCACAGTAGGTACAATTTGGGTTTTTATTGAAAAGTCTATTTTGGTATCCTCCAAACACAGTCCAGTAAGTAATTGGTTTAGGTAAAAGTTGGACTGTAGTCGTTTGGTGGAAGGGTCTTTAAAAAAAATATAGGTTTGTCGACCTCTCTCGGAGCTCTGCCATTCTGTTTTCCATCTATTTAGGTTGTTGGACTTGATGATTGTTTTGATCTGGGCCTTGGAACTTTGGACCTCTAAATTGATTTGGCTGCGACTGACGGCTTCCTTGGCTGTCTGATCCGCCTCCTCGTTGCCTAGGATGCCAATGTGCGCCCTGACCCAGTTACATGTGATGTTTGGTCTCCATAGTTGTTTAGTATTTTCTGTCTCTTTGTTATTTGGAGTTGGGTCACTTAGGGCTTGCAACGATGAGAGCGAATCAGTGAAAAGAGTGGCGTCCGGGTAGTCATTTTTAGCCAGCCAATCAAATGCACTTTTAATTGCCATCAGCTCAGCCATAAAAATACTGCAATTGTTGGAGAGTCTAATGGAGTCCGCTTTAATGATTATCCCATTTCTCTTGATGATAATTCCATAACCGGTCTTGTGCTTTATCCTACTTCCATTATCGGTCTCTTCGGCGAACTCCACTCTTGTACCATCCGTGAAAATTTCCAACCCCTCATTAGTGGGGAGTGACCTACCCCAAGGCACCGAAACAAACTTTGAGGGGTGTTGCCTTACTGGTCGTTGTTCCAATGCAATCGAGTCCAGAGAGTGGCCCAAAACTATTTCCAAGTCAGCCAACCCCCAGCCCCAGGTCAATCTTTTTGTGCTGATATCTTCAAGAATCTTTAAGTGAATAGGTATCCCTCCCGCCAGTATCTGGAGGGCCTCCGTACTTGTAGTAGAGTAGGCTTTTGTTATGGTAATCAAGGAGGATCTCTGAATGGATTTAAGCTTGTCATTGATTTTTGTATTATTGCGATATCAGACACTGGCGGCGTAGAGTATAATTCTTTCGGTCGCCCTGAGGTAGATGATTTTTAAGATCGATGGTTTGAGGCCCCAAGTGGCCCTGGCCACCCATCTGATGAGGTTGTTAAAATTGTTCATTCTCTCTTTGATCTGATTTAAATGGGGTATCCAGGTCAGGCCCGGGTCGAGCACAACCCCGAGATATTTTAGCTCCCTGACTTGCTTAATTGTTTGGCTATGATTGACACTCATTTTAATACGTGGGTGTCTGCCGATTCTTTTTTGATTCTTAGGGAATGTTAGGCAATTAGTTTTTGAATCACTGAAACTCAGTCTGTTTGACTCGGCCCAGGCTGAGAGATGAGTGAGACAATGGGTAGCCAGCAGATCAAATCTATACAGTATCTGGTGTCTCAAGAGAAGTAAAATGTCTTCAAAAACAATCAGTCGGCTGTCATCTTCTTTAAAATCGCTAAAACCGCTAAAATCAATATTGTTAAAATTGTTAAAAATCGTATTGACATATACCAACCACAGCACCGGTCCCAGGGAGGATCCCTGTGGAACCCCCAACGACGTATCTTGTTTAAATAGGCACTGACCTTCTTCATCTATATATGTAACATCTCTATTACTTTGGAAACTCATGATAATGCTGACAATATTATCTGGAAGGTCAAGTTTAAAAAATTCGAACTTCAAAATCGAAAAGTTTGCATTATTAAAAGCATTATTAATGTCCAGAGCCACCCCTATGCTGTGTTTGTTGTTTGCTTTAGCCTCCTCAACAAATTTGACCAGCTCCAATAATGCGTCGTCTGTGCCTCTCCCAGCCCGGAAGCCGTACTGGTAGGGATTTAATTGATCTCTGCTTTCCAAAAAGTAGGCAAGTCTTTTGGTCAAGAGTTTATCTAGGATTTTGCCCCAGACCGGGAGAAGAGAGATTGGTCTGTAAGATGTCGGAAAATGTGGGTCCCTATCGGATTTGGGAATTAGGGTGACTCTGGCGCTTTTCCAGCAAACAGGAAATACTTTCAATTCAAGGCACTTATTTATTGATTCTAGGAGCCAGGATTTGTTAATAAGAAGTAATTCTTTAAATATCTCACCGGGGATTCCGTCCGGTCCCGGCGCCTTATTTAATCCTAAGTCGTCAACTACCATTTCCAATTCTGACAGGGTAAATGATGGGTCACTATGACCATTATGAGAGTACATGATGGAGGTCTCTGTCTCCTTTGGTAAATGATGTTTCATAATCGTTGTAATTGTCTCTCTGTAAAAACTCTCTGTTTTGAGAGTTATAAGCTAGCTAGCATTACTGTTGTTATCTTAAAAAATATTTGAAAATAAAAAGTCGCTTGTTAATTTTTATAAATTTTTATAAATGGCATCATCTAATAAATGTTAATTTTTATAAATGGCATCAACTAAATAAATCAAAAAACTCTGTTTTTCAAACAACTCTTCCAAAAGGTATGAAAGAAATATTAGTATGATTTTTGACACAGGGGGGATAGAATGGCTCCTATCAAGACCGCTCTCTAAATTTCGGGACGCTAGCTTTAACTGTTCAGGAGTTATAAGAGAGAAACATAGCGAGTTCATCATTTCAATATTATAGATTTAGTTTATCTATCAGCCTTCAGCAAAAATGTACAATTATAAAGATCTTTTTATAGACCCTCAACTAATTTAAGAATTTAATTACTTTTCTTAATTTTGCAATGAATCTTTAATATTTGCTGGCTTCTTTTATATTTTTTAATACACGTGACCTTTTTAGGCAATTCTTTTTTTTTTAAAGTTTCAATTTGTTTCTTGACATTTATTACATGCCTTCAATTTAATATGAAATTATCTTTCTTATTAATTTAATCGGAAAATATCATTCTTTGTTGCAGAGAGGTGATGTACAAAACTTTGGCACTTTTGAGATAACACCTCAAGTGTTAGGTCTGAATAGAGGTTTATTTAAAGTTGACTTCGAAAAAGAATCATAAAAATACAACTTCCCAAGATTTATAATTAAGGTTAATGAAGTTGTATTATTCGCCTTTGAGGTTGATAAAAATCTACGATAGAGCAACCAGCTTCGATATGTTGTTTTTGAGGTGTACAGGTTATTTTTTGCGAATAATATCGGATTTTAAATAAAAGCATTACTGAGCTATACATGAGCCTGATTTTATGCTGTGTAAATAAATCTGAAATTGAATCTGCATTGATGAGGTTATTTTAGGTGCAAAATATAAACTCATTTTCTACCTTAGATATATTTTTTTTAAACATCTCAACCTCAAATTACCCCATATTTTTTGCTAAGTAAATATAAAAGAAATGTTTTCACCATTACTGATATATAGTCTAAACATATATATATATAATGTGGTTCAGAGTGTCCTCCANGTTTAAATAACTATAATTCTTAATCAACCTCATCTATGAACTTTAAAATCTAGACAAACTTGGTGACATGGATGTAAGTCCCTAATTATCCTTACAGCTCCTTGTTGAATTGGAAGCTTTGTCTCCTCCAAGATAAAGTCAAACCTGCTATCTGGACATCAGATTCTAAGCATTATATGTTCAAATAATCTTTTGATTATATTGATGTCTTAAAAAGCTAAATCGAAATTCGATACGATTTCAAAATTTCTCTTTTAGCTCACTAACAGTAGAAACAGTTTTTCGAAAATAATCTCAAATGCTATGTAGGGTATGATTTGTTATTAATATACAGCAAAATGATTACAATGTTATTAATTAGTTTAATGTTATCATAACTGAAAATGTGAATTTGAAAAAAATCTCATTTTTATGTACTTATAGGGCCTTGTGCAAACAACCCGTGCAATAACGGAGGGAAGTGCACAATGTACTCAAAAGTGCCAAAATGTGATTGCTTGCCTGGATTTTATGGAGAGAAATGTGAAAAGGGTAACTTTAAAATTTCCTAACACGTCATTTTTTTTCTTTAAATCAACAAGAAGGGTTTTTTTTGTAAATTCTCCTCATGAAGAAAAAATTATGCTTATTACGACTCGAATATTCGTAACTGAGCAATGGAGTAATGAGCACGCTGTGACAACTGGTCACGGAATTACATTTTTGAAAATTTTTATCCTTTCCCTCGTAAAGCCACCGATTCAAAATTCTCAGTCGTTTAGGCGTCTTTGCACAGGTTTGTGTCTCGGATCCAGTGCTGGGCAATATACTCCAATGGTACACATTTAATGGTTCGCAGTTATTACAGTTTTATGCAAACACATTTAGCCAATACATTAATCGAAACGGAATAGGCTATTATGTAGGATTTATCAATTCCTGCTTATTGCTCGGATTGCACTCATATAAAAATTAGTTTATGAAAATTAGATTATGTGAATCGATAAGCAGAAATAAATTTGAATAAATTTTATCCATTAACGCGACTTTATTGAGTTTCTTTCTTTACTTTTGAAAATTTCTATGCAAATATTAAAATTTGTAACTGGCAACATGTAATTTCCTTCTCTTTTTTTGACACTTATATTAGCGCGAAATAAAGATCTCGATCGAAAAAAAACAAATTTTCATGTACAATGGATAAATAGTCAATATTTGCTGCCTAATTTGTAAAAAAATCCCAAAAAAGCAGTTAAATTTGCAGTGACATTTGAACAAAATGTAATTTCGAAACAACGTTCTTGTAAATTTCACAAATAATAATAATGTCTCTTTCAGCACGGCAAATTTAAATTCCGTATTTGCATTTAAACATGCTACAAATCGATCGAACAAAAAGTTTAACAAATAATAATTCTAGAATTAATTATCGAGTATAATTTTTTTTGCTTCGCCAGTACTCCTTTTCCTTTACCGACATTCCTTTGCAATTTCAAATTTCAAAGAGTAGAAAATGTTGTGCCGCAAGGCAAAATGTAACGGAAAACAAAAAAGTTAGAAAAAATTTGCAAAAACTGCATTAAAACAAAACAAAATAAAAGTCGGAAAAAAAGACTCTGCGTTTACTTCGTAAACAAAAACGGTCTTTTCAGCATACCGAATTTCAAGTCTGTGGTTCTATTCCTGCGTCCTGCAAAGCAGCCCGAATGGTATTTTTAACTGCAAGTTTATACAAGTTTCCTATAAATAATTCTCGAACTAATTACCGAATTTTGTTATTTTATTTCATTGAACTAACTATCTGTACATTTTTCTACCCAACTTTCTAGTCTTAAGTTTCTAAGTTTTAGAGTTTTCGCTCAGCAAAACAAAATGTAACGTTAAGCTAAACGCTCAAAGCAGCGACTGTGACCCTTGCAATTTTTTAATATAGAGTGATATATTCGAAATCAAACCGTCTACTGGCCAGAGTTCTCAAAGAGATTTCTTGCATGAATTATCTAACAGATTTTTTTTTACATAAATATTTGAGTTTCCAAATTTTTTTTTTTTCAAATTTTTATTTTTATTTTTTCTATTAGTTTGTTTTAGTGTTTTAAGGATGTTTGAAACATTTTAATATCTGCTCACAGACTGTTTTATACTGTTTTGATACATACTAATATCTGCCCACTTATAATCCTTCCGAAGATGATGCACCCCAGTGGTAGTAAGACTAAAAGCAAATTACATTCATAAGCAAAAATTTACATTTTATTATGTCTAAAATTAAACTAACTAATGTGATATATATATATATATATATATATATATATATGAATATATATATGTATATATATATGTATGTATATGTATATATGTATATGTATATATATATATATATGTATGTATATGTATATATATATATGTATATATAGAATATAGAATTTATTTAAATGTAGTGATGGTCAAAATCATTTTGAATTGGATTTATTGAATGCAAAGAATAAATAGCAAGCATACATTTCCTACTACTTTAAATGTAAAAATAAAATTTTACTCAAAGTGTGTAAAACTTGGCAGGTATGTAAATTAGATAATTAAGTAGTTTCGTAAGTCGGAATTCTGCAAATTGCTTTGAGTTTGGATTATTTGCTACAGCTTGAATATCTTTTTGCGGACCTTAAGGATCCCTAAACTGAGTTCTACTAAACATTTTATGCAACTTCTATTTGTTTTAAGATTTTCTGTATCAATTTACTACAACTGGAAGGAAAAAAACAAACATTGTAGGGGAGGCGCTAAGGCACTATTTTGATTTCTTGCATTTGATATAAAATCGTATTTCAAGAAATAATAATATGAGATAAAAATGCGACAAAGCAGATGGCTATTTTTTTATAGAATGTGAATATATTTGAACATGTATAGATATTTGTGTATATTTTCATAAGCATTTGTTTTTATTGTCTGTAGACGTCTGCTACTTAAGAGATGTTTGTAAGAATGGAGGTACGTGCAGACCAGATGGATTCAACAAGTTTAAATGTGAATGTAGGCCACATTATTACGGAACATTTTGCGATAATGGTAAAATTTCAATAATTTTAATACATTTATAACTCATCGAAATTTTAAATTATTAGAGCACAAATTCTATTTAAAATGCATCGTTGCATTTTTCACTGCAAAACATTTAGACTGTTACCAAATGCGAAAAATTGAATAGTTGAATTCACTAAGCTGTACTTGTTAGTGGTTATAGATCTACATTTTTTTTCTTTAATATTTCTATAAACAACAAAAAAATTAAAATAATTAATATCACAACGAATTTATTTTTAAAGTATAGAAGCAAATATTTTTTTTTATATTTCCGGAATGAAACTTACATTGTTATATTAATAAAATGTAAACTAATCGTTGAAATTTTGAACTTTATTTAATGCCTTTAAGCTGTTTAAATAACTATAATTCTTAATCAACCTCATCTATGAACTTTAAAATCTAGACAAACTTGGTGACATGGATGTAAGTCCCTAATTATCCTTACAGCTCCTTGTTGAATTGGAAGCTTTGTCTCCTCCAAGATAAAGTCAAACCTGCTATCTGGACATCAGATTCTAAGCATTCTGACTAATAATCAGTTGGAAAATAATGTTCAGGCTAATCTCATATAACTGACTGATAAGTGAACTGACCTCATTCAACTGAATGATTACAACTAATAGATCTATTCTGGAAAAAATGAAAGCATTAAAAGGCAAGCAATCGCATTTCAATGGCTACGTTTTACAATTTACAGCAGATGAAACAGTAGGCTTAACAGGACTGCAAACGTACTCAAAATTTAAATGTTCTACTGACGTAAAGGTGAAAGTTCTGATTGACAATTTTTAACAGATATTGCAAATTGGAAGTGCTGTAATAAGCACAACAAATTTTTCTTTCTTCTATAAAATTTCAAAACCAAATAACTTTTATCAGGTACACTTTTTTTGGATATTTGAATGTATATAGAATCTGCAAATAAAACCCTTATAACTCTACATAAAATAAATTAATCCAGAAAAACCTAAGAGGGAGTGGTGAAAATAATAATAAGTTAGATAATATTTCAAAAAAAATTACTCAGAGTATATTTAACAAAATAAAAAACGGAGATTATAACGCTTAGAGTATTTTATATATGTTTACTGGATCCCTTCTTAAGATTGATGGTTTTCAACAATAACTTATGTTTTTTAGTGAAACAAATGTGCTTGGAAGGAGGTAAAAGCAAAGAATGCTCGAAGCTTAATGCTCGATGTGTTGAAAGCCCAAATGTAAATGAAGGTTATACTTGTAATTGTGAAAACGGGTACGATAAAAACGAAAACGGTTTCTGTATTCGTAAGTATTTTCAATTACTGTTTTTTTTATTCATAATAGACTGAGTCCAGTTAAAAAATTAGGTTGCATGTTAATGCAACTCATAAAAAATCATTCCAACAAAAAAATATTTTTTTTTATCTTCATGAAATAGTAAATTGAAATCATGAAATCTTGAAATCTAATTTAATTTTTATTTCAGACAAATGCCGTATTAAAAAGAATGAAGAGAAATGCATAAAACTCTCAGCCAACTGCGTATTAGACGAAACCTATCAACCCATTTGCAAATGTCCCCCATTGTTTCAAGAAGATGCAAATAGGAAATGTGTTAAAGGTATTTTTGGCATCAATATTATGTTTTGTTAATATTTAAAATAAAAATTGAAAATCTCTAACGCCAATTTTTAGCAAAAATCCTTCTTTAAAAACTTTATTTGGCACTTTATGAAAAAGCTAAATCTTAGAAACTCAACCTCTTTGTTTTGTGCGTCATTTGTTTTCTCCATTATCTTAATACTTCGAATCTCGTAGCAAAAAGGTATCTTCAACATGAATGCCAACTTACTTCATTTTATTTATATATATTAGAAGAACAAACATTTGCTGGCTTGTAAGCTCAATTAAGGCTTACAAACCTTTGTCAAGTAGGACAGGTATGCCCAATGCAGAGAAGGACACGGCAAACAGTTCATCCAGGGTTGCGGCGTGATTCCAACTCGCCTCCTCTATGCTCAACAGAGCGTTTGGAGGGAGATACCGCTCGGCCAGGGAGGCCCCCTAGTTTTACTTCGAGGAAATATTATTTCTGGTTGTAAAAACATCTAATTCGAATTCTTAAATTTTATTCAAAGTTACATTGCTCATCGTTAAATTTAAATAATTCAAAAATGTTAGAGTTGATTTGTAGGTTTGTTAGAGTTGATTTGTAGGGAACCCTTTTCAATGCATCAGCAAGAAGGAATATTTAAGCTCGTTTGATCATTTGCAGGGATGCCTAATAGACCTAATAATTGCCTAATAGATTGCAAAAATCTATTAAAATAAATTAAAGTCTATAGTTTCAATTTTAAAATAATTTAGCTAAATAATATTTTTGTACTTCATCAATCTCTAGACAACGAAATTTATCTTTAACAAAGTTTGGAAATCTCGTGTCTATAGTTATGCTTTATTTTTTATACTTTATACTCAACATAGTTTGTTTTTTAGAAGTATCAAATACACCGGAATCAACTGAACCAGAAGGGATAACTTCAACAAATTGTGAGCATGTCGTTGGATATTTTTTTCTCTTTAAATTATAAATATGTGTGTCATTTTAAAATGTTCTATGTGTCACAAAATTGCATCTTCATTGTCGAAATATATAAACCATATTTTGAGCCTAAATTTTCAACTCATTGCGCTGACATTTTCCATATTAAATATTCATAATTGGATAAAGACTGTTATTTGCAAAAATATGCCATTGTATTCTAATTGGTAATACTTTTATATAAATTTCCCTTAAAACCCTTGATATGAAATGTACATATGAATTTGCAAATAGTTATATCTTTAGTTATATGAGAGACAGAGAGAGAGAGGTATAAAATAAAACTGTTGGAAGTAATTGAAAATTATTACAAAATTATTGCTTTAAAATTTAAGAAATATTAGTTAAAGACCGCGTGAAATATAAGCAATGAAGGTAATTCTTGTATATTGCGAAGACTTCGGGTAAGATGAGGTAATTTGACTTGATTTTTCCCTCAAAAAGAAATCACTTATAAAAAAATCGTGCATCTATGACTTTTTTAAGAATGATACATTACACGTAACTAAGCAAATAATATCGCACCTTGGCAAGTGTCATAACTCTAAAATGCAGCATTTGAGACAAATCAACTTAATACGATAACCCTTATTCTGAATTCGACTCAGAACTGACACAACTGCCCTCAGCTGGATAAATTGCGCGTTGGAGATTATGTGACATTTTTTGAGCTTGATGGGACACTTCAAACATATTTTTTATTGACATAACTTCAAAATTGCTTTTTATTTACTTGAGTCACTTTTTTTGCAAGGGTGCGATATCTTGATTAAGTCTGATAGTTTTTAGGTCGAACAATTTAGTATCAACACGCTTTCGAATCTTAGATACTCGGTTTTAACCCACTTTTCCTTAAATTTTTTTTAAAAATTATTTCTGAAATTCATTAAACAAGTTGGCTTCTTAATATTGAGATTTACAAATTTTAAGTTTTAGAGTGAGTTTTTTTGTTTATGTTCATTTCTTCATATGTATTTTATTTAATTTATTTAATTTTTGTCTCTTATTATATCTGTTTTCTAGGAAGTTTTTACTTTATTGATTGTGATTGTGCTTTTAAGTTGTTCTCATCATAAATTTTTTAAAAATAATAAATTTTGGATGAAAAAGTTAAAACATAATAAAAACACAAGGGATATTTTGAGAAAAATGTTATTAAAAATATATATTTAATTTCATATTTCGAGCCTCACCCCATTCTCAAAGAGCTGTCCCACCCTCAGGGTTTTTTCCTACCCTCAGAGTGTCATCGCAGCCTTAGGGGATCGGATCGAGGTTGATTGCATTTTTAGGTTTTTGATTTGATGTTAGGTTTTATTCGAGTAATTTAACCGTTTCCATAATTTCAATCTCTTCGTACGAGCGTCATTCTCAGATTATGAAAGATTTCTTGCCTTGAATAAAAAAAAAAACATGCATAAATCAAATAAATCATGAATTATGAAATGAATAAACTTTTGCTAACAATAATTTTGATAACAATAATTTTCAAGGCTTAGTTCAAGTACAAAATTAAGTAAAACTTGAATACTTATTAAAACTTAAAATTTGGAATTTTGCTTTTAAAAAAAATGGAAAACATTAAAACAGAAGCAACACTTATGTGTATTTCATTTTACTACCTTTATTATATAAGAAATTTAGAGATAAAGGAATAAATTTAACTGTCTGTTCGAAATTGAAATTTATTACTAAGGATTGCTGTCTTTGTCTAGGAGGGTAAGTTTTTTTTATCACTATTTCTCAACCAGTTGACGCTGCCATGACTTTCAGATTGATAAAATTACAAGATCACATTTTCTCAGGAACAGAAAATTTCCTTTTTTTAATTAAAGCATACAAAACTGTTTTATTTTGCTTCAAAATTACAATGAATGTATTTATTGAGAACCTTGATCATAATTACTAAATATTTTCAAATTGATCATTAATGTATAAAAATTTTTAAGACTACATTCAGCTAAAAATTAGCATATTATCTGATATAATTTAGCTATAATTAGGCCTTACTGTAAAAATTTAATGGCCAGGATGTTTTGAAGATATATTTTACCTATTGTAAAACTTAATAATACGTGCAGTTATATACAGTTTTACTTAGAAAATACAGAAACACATGTTTTCGACAGCTGCAAATAACTAAGGATTACCAAGCAATGATCACAAAAGTATTGGAAACTTCGCCCAATTTCAATTGCAATTACATTGGAAGAAAATTCGAGCAATAATTATGATAAGCAATCAGATATTTTACATTGACTCTTAAAAAATCAGAAAAACGTTAAAATTTTTTTAAAGGTCTTTAAATCAAGGCTTTTATAAAAATGTTTTGTAATGTATGATAAGTAAGTAGGTTTATTGTTGTTCAGATTTAACTATTTAAAAGTTTCCTGTTTCAGCTCATGAATCAACTGAATCAACTCTTTCCCCTAAAACGGATATTTCATTAAAAACAACCTTCTCAAGTAAGCCTATCTTTTTTCATCTTTTTTGTGTTTACTGAAAATTTTTTGTCTGCTGTACTGATATCAAATCTGCTGTAACTCCAAAACCAATTATACTAGGGCCCTGTAACTAAGACATAGGCTACAAAAAGCAATTATATCCACATATACTAAAACTCTTTTAAAAATTTTAATTATTCCTTTCTGGAAAGCTGATAAAAAATGATTTTATTTGCCTTAGTTCAACATTAGCCATTGTAATAAATTAAACTGTAGACAATTCTGTTCAGGAATTTATTTCACTCCTTATAATATTTAACTATATCAACTCATCGTAAATCAAATTGGAAAGCTACGTCAATGAATTTGTATTTCTAAAGTTATCTGAAACCATGTGTTGCTTTGCTTATAATTGTGCTTTTAAAACACTTTTGTATAAAAATAAGTAATTTAAAATAAATAGTGATTGAAATAAAGAAATATTATTTATGCAGTAAACGACAAAGGTTAATAGAAAAATGGTACTTAGTTTATAAATACCGTACAAAAATCCCTATGCTATTATTGACTCCGTTAAGCTTAATTAATTTTAGTTACGACTAATACAGGTATTATGGTAATGGATGTGATTTTTTATAAATATAGTTATTTTTGCAACAGTCGTTTCAGGGTCCAACAAAAGAGCTATTTCCAGAGGAAATTGTTTGATTCTGGCGAATTTAAACTACCATGAGAAGGCCTAAATCAGCAGCATCATATTAAATGATACTTACCACAGCTAATGGTTATTTTGTTGAACTGAAAATTTTAAAATTTGATCAGACTGCGTAGGGACCTAGGGGGAGCTGTGAAACATTTCATTGTTAGTTCAAGTTTTATTTTAATTAAAGTGTGTGATTGAAAATGTCATTCTTTATACTATGTTTTCAAACAATTTTGTTTTTAATTAATTTTGCTTTTGTTACAATTTATGATTCAAGACATGTATCTCGCCTCTTTAATCAATTTTGTTTTTTAATTATAGCGTGTGATTAAGGACGTCATACTTTATCCCGCGGTTTCAAACTAATTGTTCTTAATGAGATCTCTTGATTGTGGTTGTCAATCTTTATCTTGCAGTTTCAATCAATTTTATCTTCAATTACAGCATGTGATTGTGGACTTCATTCTTTATCTTGCGATTTCAATCACGAAGGGAATAAAATTTGTTCCTGTGAGACTGGTTTTTCACAAATGACTGATGTCTGCGTTGGTAAGTTATGTAACTCTTAAATCATGTTTACAGTATGTGTGATTCACTTTGTCTAAAACCGGTATCTGTCAATGATATACACGTAATATTTTATTCGTGTACTCCTTTTAATTTTACACTCCTTTCAATTTATTCCTCAGAAAAATGTGAAGTTCAAGGGCATAGAATTTGATTTATAAAGAAAACTGATTTTTTGAAATTTGTCATAAAATTAATCTATTCATCATGACAATCATGAAAACATGCTTCAGCATAATTTACGTGTATTTTTGATGCATTTGATTATTATGCTAAATTACAAAAAAAAAAAAAATAATTATTATTTCGAAAGGGAAGAAATGATTATAACATATGAGACAATAACTGGAAAAATAGTCATCTCTCTTACCCTTGTTAGGCTAAATAATGTCAATATGTGTTTATGTTGAAAACGGACGTAGTTAATTTGTCAGACTTATTTTTGATTTCCGTCTAATTTTAACACGTTAACACTATGCTGTCTGCATAGATTTTAGTGATAAGTTTACCATGTGACCGGTTCCGTGTAACTTGCTCTGCTTTGTAAAATAGTGTTTTCTAGTGGTAGCGAAATTTAAGTTACTTTTAGTTTAGTATTTTTCATTATAAGTAATTTTTTTCACCACTAAATATCAAAAATTATAAGTATGATATAAAATGCAACGTTTAAGCATCAAACTACTGGTTACTATATTAAAAAGTAGGCGTAACTATCTTTCTTTAACGAATTTTACTATATAATTTGCTACCACTTTGTTAAAACTATTCCAGAAAGCGGAGCAGTTGGCATCCCTGTAATCTATTGTCCCTTGACAAAAGGTCATATGAATATCAGGTTGCAACGCGCGACATCCATGTGTTGTCACCGGCCACTAACGTTTCGCTTGGACATGGCACCAACGTGTTGTCATGGGTAGTGATGTGCCAATCGATTCATTTAAATGAATCGATTCTTTAGAATCAATTCACTAAAATGAACGGTTATATGAATCGATTATTTGATTCTTTTTTAAATGGTCGTTATAATGGAAGTCTTTATAAAAGGTGGTCGTACAAATTAGTTTAGACTGTTTTAGTATTTGAATTAGTTGATCTAGGTCAGGGGCTCTCAATATTTTTCTGCCATGGAACTCTAAATAATTAACGTTCTTTCGGCGGANTTCTGAACAGATTGCTATTGTGGTGAGAAATCTGTAAACTGTTCTTTTGGAAGAAACTTGGAAAAGAAATGCTGGTGCAATAAAGGTTATGGCCAAATGCATGGAGCTTGTAAAAGTAAGCTCTGTTTTTATAAATATTTATTGCTAAAATTTATTGTTTTGCCATGTTTTTTGTAAAGAAATAATATTATTTACAGAGTAATATAACAATATTTTTTTTATATATTCTATAACACTGAAAAAAATATTTTTTTTTAAATATATTTGCAGTACCAATAAAGTATTTATTGTAGGACTGGTGCGAGTCACTTTTTTTGACACTGTTATTAAATTCGAAAAATAGTAGTTGTAAAATTTACTAATTTGTCATCAATATCACATAAACTATATTTTTTAATTTCAGTTTTTAACTATTGGAACTAATTATTATTGTATTAATTAGTGTTTTAGTACATCAGAAATTCTATCAGAAAACGAAGAATATTGTAAGATATGTGTGTTAGCAAGACGGTACTTCATCGGGGGACACACTGCCTGCCAACTCACCTTTCTATCGTCAGTGGTAATACCAAAAACTGATTGTGTTCCGAGACCCGATAATGGATAAATAAAATAAGAACAAACAATTCGAAAATTTGAAATGTAAATGCAATGAAAAATTAATGACACACAAACACAATTTAAAAGTGCACATTAAGACATAATAATAAAACTCCCACATATAAGATTATTATTAGTAGTATTTTTTAGTAGTCTCACAATAAGACGATCGTATTAAAATATCAGTAGCGTCCTTTTTGTTTCTTACGAAAGCCGTGTAATGATGAAGCACGTGAAATATTTTTTTTTCTATTTATGCTCAACCACAAATTTTTTAATGCTTTAAAATGTACCTTTCTGAGGAAAGAGCTTGTATGTTATTTAATAGTAAGATTTTATAGGTTTTCCTTCAATTAAGCTTGAAAATACTTAGTGACTCCACTTCAAATACTAGCATAAACAAAATATTAATTATTATAAAATAAATGTTACCGGAATAAACTGTGCTACCACTTTTTACTTTTTAAAGGATAAAAAATAGCGAAAGTCTCATTTGTAAGGATGATGGGCATAAATAGGTCAACCGAAAGCCTCGACACGGTTTCTTTTAGGCAGTCCAAACATATCACTATGAAGGTTGACAAAAGAGCTATTTTTTACAAAATCTAATGAAAATAAGTAAGTGGTAGCAAATACATGTCTAAAAATTTGTTTAATTTATTGAATATGATTGCTTTGTATTATATAAGTTTTTCTCAATTACTTTAAAACAAATAATTCCCATTAAGTTTTACGTTCACGTAAATATATCCTACCCCCTTCATCACAAATTTTTTTTTATCCCACCTTAGGTGACGGAGCAGATAGCCCATCTGGCTACGTACTCCGTATCAAATGTTTAAATCGGTACTTTTAAAACAGAATTTGGTTTTTAGATCCACTGCTCAGACCATACTTATAAAACACCCAGTGAAGAATTTTTTATGTAGGATATGATTGGTCAAGACCAGCCATTTACTTTTTTGAAAAGTCTCACTAAAATTTGAACTTCCTTTGCAGCTTCGAAATCAATGAGCTACATAGAAAAGCCTTACATAGACAAATATAGAGAGAAAATGCATTAAGCAATTTTATTTAGTTTGAATTTATTTGGGATAGTGAAAAAGTTATCTATTGGTGTTATCAGGTTAAAAAGTGATAGCGGAATATGCATATTTTCAGAAAATACCTTACCGAGTGGTAGTATAGTTAAAGTATTAATATTTTAATGAATTTGAAACATAAGAATTTCGTCCACCATCTCTTATATAACGTTTTAGAATAGGAACAAGTTTTTTTTTGCTGAATTTAAACAAGCAATTAATCTTACTTAATTGCAGTGTGAGGATTTCAAGTGTAATATCAGTTTTGTCCTGAAATCTGAATATTTTTTTTAAGATTATTCTTTTTAGTTTATCTTTAACTTGAATGTAAACGTTTATAAAGAAACATATAGATCTTGTCTGCTGTGCTAAATACGAGAAATAGGATGAAAATAACGCTGTGGTGAAAATAGCGCTAAATACAAGACTTATATGACTTTAACTTACCGCGTCACAAGCAGGAATTTATTATCAGATAATAGAGGAAGCTTGGTTGAATTTTAAGAATTTCTGGTTAGGAATATACAATTTTAAATTCCATGAAAATTGCATCTTGTTTAGAGAAACTGACTGTGGATTCAGAATCTATGATGAGTAAGCGTTAAAAATTCTTACACAGTAGAAAAAAGTGCTCCCTAGTATTATTCAAATATAATAAAAGGGCAAATGCTCAGTGTTGGTAGCGATGAAGAGATTACGTGAGCGATAAACATTCAGATGATATTTCTTTAAGTGTTATCAGCCTAAAAATCCGGGATTTACATAAACTTTAACTAGAATTTAAAACCAGAATTCTTAAAATTTTTTAACCGGAAACTAAATAAATAAAATTAAAATTATTAAATAAAGCTATATCTAAATAAAAATTTATTTATCAGAAACTTGCAGCTATGATGTAGATTGTCAAAATGGTGGTATCTGTAAACATAATGGCAATGATGGTTTCTGTGAATGTCATGCGGATTACAGTGGAGACAGATGTGAAGTCAACAATGTTTGCAGGCATTTACACCACATATGTGGTGAACATGGTGGCATATGTGTGATACACGATGGATTACCTCAGTGTGAGTGTCCTCCTGATAAAGAATACCAAAAAGGGGTTTGTAAAAGTAAGAAAAAATATTTTTCGTATGCAAGTTTTCTATATTAGAATTTAGTGCTTAATCGAAAATATTTCTTATTTACTATAAAAATGTATGCATGACGAACTTACTTAGTTTTAAAAGTAGTTATATAATCAAACCTGACTAAAATAAACTAGCTATTGCATCTGATTTCAAAGTCAAATTATCAGGTTTCAATTCAATTGAAATAGTTATTGTTATAAGACAATCATTTTATACGGGTTTAGTTCATTACGTCTAGCCATCGACACCCACAAAAAAATTTATATTAATTTTTGTTTCTTTAAGCAGATTGTTACATAAATACAATATTTAATTAAAATTTCGAACTGCAGAATTCCAACACAGAGCCGGTTTCTCATTCAACGAGGATTAAATTTAAACTTAATAAACTGCTGGCAATTAAATATTCTACACTTTAAATGATTTTAAAATAAGAGAATTATGTTTAGTTGAACTAAAATTGTAGTGGAATGAACAAGTAATTAAAACTACTCAGAGTTAGCAAGCAAAGATATTGGAAAATCGGTATACAAAGTTGGAAACTCGGCAAGAATTGCTGTAATCCGTTTATTCTGGGTGTCATACAGAGATTGTATGGTATTTCTGGGAAACTTAATTAACACACCTTCACCACTATGTCACAATTCATTGACAGAAGTTATTAGAAAATAATGAAGCACTAATTCATCGGCAACCAATGAACACACGTAATTCAGTGAACGCAGTTTCAATGAATTTCATTGGCACGGAATATTAGTAAGTGATAAGGCGCCAATCAATGAGCAAACATTGAACACACGTTTTCGATTGTTCAAAAATAATTGAGCGTCCTGGATGGTCTAACAAGTTATGAAATAAAGTAAGGTCAAGATACTGCAAGAAACATGCGGTCAGTAAACACTGGCAACTCTGGCAAAAAAAACTGCTTTCACTCGTATGAAAGATCATACTGAGTTTGTAAGGAGATTCGGGGGACCTCAGTCAATATAGCTTCAATTAAATGCTTAAGTTTATTGACCGGAGTTATTAGTAAGTGATGAGATGACAATCATTCGACAACCATTAACCTTACGTTTTCTATTATTCAGAAGGAAGTGACGGTCATGGCAGCAGTCAAACATATTCTGGATTACGGAAAATCAGAACAGTGCAGGCAAGAAGCTGTCATTTCTTTTTCTGTTGAAAAGCAACGTTGGTGAGGTCTGGAAGATAGGTCAGAGGTGCTGGTCATAACACGTTTGTAATGTAAGGGTTACAATGAATGTGCTAAGAATGCAAAAAAAGATGTGATCGACACCATTTATCATTTGTGCTGGAGATAGGAGATGTCAAAGTTGTCAGCATATGTTTCTTACAATTACGCATATCAGAATTGGGATGTGGTTGTGTGAACCCTTGTGACTATTCTGATAAAGTGTCTATTATCTCAGCCGCTCACCGATACAACCGAGCCTTCTTGCCGATCCTCCAAATACTCCATAGGGTGGAAGTCTTCGAATCCTGTCCTATCAATTGTTTTATTTATTCTGCTAAAAAATAATAAAAAATTTCTTAACTTTCGCATATTAACAGGCTATGAAGAAATTAAAAAAATTCCTATATCAATATCTCACATAGCTCTTCAATATAAATAGATTGTAACGGCATGGAAATAATTTTAAAAAAATGTTGGAAAAATATTACGGAACTTTTTGAAACTTCATATGTTTTAATTTCACTAAAAATTTTATAAGGAAACAGTTTTAAAATTTATATTGCTTCTCATAATATAAAAAGATTTTCTGTTTTACAGGAAGTAGATAAAAAATTTTGTCATCTCTAAGTTTTCAATCGTTTTTAAATGTTTTAAAACCATGGCAACCCTTATATAACGAAGGATTTTTAGCCTATGGTTCATATCTATAAAGTAATAGTATTTTAGGGCATGTTTATGTATTTGGAATAAAGTTAGTTTTATTCATATATTTGTTTCAGCAATTTGTGATGCATCAAAATGTATTCATGGACAATGTGAAATATTTGGTCACTCTTATAAATGCAGGTAAAATATACATTTATATCCATTTTAATTGCCACTATTCTTCTATTATAGTTTTCCTGGTTTATTTAAGTTGAAGTTAATTTATTTAGTTTCAAATTTAGTTTTAAACTTATTTTTAAATTAAAATTTAAATTTAGTTTACATGTATTCAAAAAATCATTTATTACATACATTTTAATTGTCCAAACAAATTTAATCAGCCCAAATAAACTTTCCTAATTTTCTTACCAATGAATAATTAAAGTGTCTAAGTTGCAGAAATAGCTGGAAAGCTAAAGTTAAATACTTATAATACTTTCGAGACACAAATTAGACATCACATTTACATTTCTCATGAGATGAAACGGATACGGAATTTTATAACTATCGTTGAACAGCCGACCAAATTATGGGCTTACGACTATTATTGTTCATTTCCTTAGCCTTGTAATTTTGAACCCAGTATAGAGGACAAGGGAACTCCAGGATCAAGTATTGGGAGAAATTTGCTTTCGTGCAGTTCTTTTGTTGATGGAACTTATCCGCATTTGCATTACATGGAGAGGATAACCACAAAAATTTATCACGGTTAACTAGATGGCAAGAGGACTCTAACCCAGTATCCGTCTACCACCAAGGATATTTTAAGTCAGCGCTGTGGTCGGTGAGAGCCGGATGCGGAATTCGTATCAACCAGCCAAAGCTGGGATTCGAACTCGGTTCATTTCATTGACCTTTTCCGGATTTCGTGCAAATAATCGCCCGGTCTCTGGGAGAGGGTTTGATGGTCTTTTCCGGAGTTTTCACTGTATTTCAAATGCCATGATAGAACGGGAGAAAAGCAGTTCATTGTATAAACTGTTGAATTCACATGTAGTGGTATCAAAAATAATTTTAAATTAAATATATTAAACAAAGAAATACACATTTAAATATAAAATTCATTACCAACAGAAAATTTTTTCGCAATGCGTCGAAAATTAGCAGCCTTGTGTAAATAATCTAAATATTTTGATTTCAATCTAATACGATGAGATTTCATTTTTTTAATTGCATAATACCTAGTTTTAAGGACAAATGTTCTATCATCTTTGAGGTAAAAGTATTTCTCACCCATCTGCAGAAAAAGGGTTAAACTATACTTTATTAATGAGCTGATCAACTGAGATGACACTGGGCAACAACTACCTTATCCATTATAATCCAATTTAGGTGTGGAAATTTCAAATCCAAAAATAGTTTTGTTTCCAAAAGCTATTTTTTAAAAATTTTATTTTTAATTTATTTAAATTTTGATTTCTCAGGAACTATTTGACCAATTTTGCTAAAAGTATTTTGCCTTGTAAAAATACTTTGTTTAATATGATATAAGAGGTCAATTCAAAATTTTTTCGACCAGTAAAAATAAAATAATAAAAACATAATAAATACTCACAAAGACTTATCTTTTGCCTGGAATTATTTGTGACTAAACAAATTTTATAAGCTTGCGCAAAAATGTTTCAATTCGGTGAAATATGCAGAAAGTAAAATTAACATTAAGGGGTCCAAACGTTGGAGCGTTCTCCTGACCAAATTGTATGGACTATATTTCCCAAATTGCAGCTACCCCTAATATTTTGGGGGTGAGAAACTCGAATCCGTCAGGAAAAAGGTATATTTATTCAGAGAAAGTACGTTTTTGTGTCTGATTTCGTAACTTAAAATATCGTCTGCACTCATTAGTTAGTATATATTTGTGGTCACCCCCTCAAACCATTAAGATAGAGTCCTAGAAATCTATGTTCGACCATTAGATCAAAAGTTATTAAAGGTTGGTCCATTTTTTATTTTGCGCACTGTACAATGCTATACAGAATGAAGGGGAGAGTGGGGTCAATTGTAATATTTTTTACTTAACTATTTTTAACTAACAAAAAATCCAATATATTATTACTATTAATTGACAGACGAGTAAAGTAGACTATCCTCTACTAGAAAAAAAAAATACTTTATTTTCAATGTTATTATATTAGTTATTAACAATTTTTGACAGTCGTGCACTTGTTACAATTGTCCCCACTTACGGGGTCAATTGTAACAGTTCATAAATTCAACTAAAACATAGTTAATTATACATATTATCATAGTTGTGATATATTTTTTTATTGATCAAAATAGTAGTGATATTTTAGGAGTAAAAATAATAATGAGCAGAGACCTAAAGGGTTAAGCTTTTGACTTTAAGGGGTTAAAAATTTTAATTTATGCTGTGAAAGGTGACAAATAAAATAATGCTCATGCAACATAATATAAATAATATAGGAAACTATTGTTGGTTCTAAAAGAGTCAAGTAATGGTTTGTAAACATAAGATTATTTATTTTCAGCTGTTACAATCTTCCCTTTACCTATTGTTACAATCGTCCCCAAGAAGCCATTTCAGTTTCATTTGTTAAAAACAATGCTAGTTAATTAACAAAACTAATTTTTTTTATTGAAATGTTAATTAAGGTGTCCACTTACATATTCGGTTAATAATTTTTATTTGTTTAAACAAAATTGCTTTGTTACAATATAATATTCTGATACCAAAAATGTGCTTACGTAGCGTGAAAATATCTTTTGTGATGTAACTCTTTCAAAAGTACATAAAAATGGTTGCCAGAAGGGGTGTATATGTAGATTTATTAAATGCACCTTATGTGCCACCTAAGAACCAAATCTACAACCCGACACTCGAAATTTTTGCTCTGTTACAATCGTACCCTGTTACCATTGAACCAACTCTCCCCTATAGGTTTATACAATTGTCTATTTTTGAAAACGAAACTGAAGGCAAAAATCTTATGACTGCAACGCATCGCATCATAAACTAAAATTTACTATCGCCTTCGTCGTACCTCTCCCTACACAGCGGAAAAGTGGGGACACTTAGTAATTACTGGAGGTAATTTCAAAAAAAAATCTGGTTAGTGATGTATTATTAATTAATTAGCGAAAAAAATTGTAGCTTGTGGAGAGAAACCGGTTACAGGTTTGATATCAGAGACGCAAAAGCATCTAACATCTGTTCAAAAATATCATGCAACAGAAAAGAAAAATGTTATCCAATGTTGCTGTTATAACTATGCTTTTTACTGCAAATATGATCTCTATGATTTTTCCTAAATATGATCTGTGTCGTTGCAGGTGTTTTGCTGACTATACTGGAAAACATTGTGATAAAAAATCATTGGAAGAATCACGTGGTAAGTTTAATTCGAGAATTAGTAGCTGCGAAGCTTTTTCTTTGCATCCTTCGATTATATTTGAAAAATGCATTGCAGAAAGCAGCACTTTCTATATAAACCCCTTCCATAGTTCCTTTTAGCGAAAAGATTGACTAGATGTAAATTAAGTAATATGTTACTTGGCGTCATCAAACATGTTTTTGGCTGCTTATTACATTTTTTATTGCGATTTGTTCGTTATTGTAGATTTCAAGACCGATACTCAAAGTTTACGATAAGTACTTTTTCTTACGTTTTTATAGTTTAATTTTTTATATATAAAAAACCAATTACTTACATTTACAAAAAAATGCTTATTGCATTGGTGATTATATTAAAATTTACTAAGAATAAATTTATTGCACATTGAGTTGCCAGGATAGCTTGATTGGTTAGGCATTGGGACCATGTCCAAGAGGTTGTGAGTTTGATGAAATGGGGTTGTGAGTGAATGTGGGGAAGATCCCCCGTGGACAATATGGTGATTGGTGCACGCTAAATCTGCAAGGGTCACAAAGACTTCAATATTCTCATAACAAATCGATACCTATTGGAGTTCGGGATTTGTGATAGATCATGTGCTGGTTCAGATTGAAATTTCGATCTACGAAAGTATGAATTGTGTGTGAATGTGTCCTCTCTATAAAACGGACTGTGATGTATGCGTGTGGCTGAAACTTAATTCTTGACCATAAATGGCACCCATCTTGCTGAAAGGTCATACGTCAACAACTTACTTATTAAAATTATGAAGATTATTTTTTAAAAAAACATTGTAGAATTACTCTTGAATAATTATTCAATTAAATTGAATTCGGGTTCAAATGCCCGAATCGAATCGGACGTTAAATTTGTATAATAATTATTGAAATGCTTTTTTCCGGTGAGTTTTTACCAGTCATTTTTCCTAGTTTCTTCTTCTGGTGCTTTTTTTCAGTAGGTTTTTTTTTCGCGTTAACCCCTATCTGTGGTCTACGGGACGTTTTTTTGTGGACTGTGAGTGTGTTACCACTTAAAAAAATATTGCAACCATTTAATAAATTTAGATGCTCACTGAGATTATAGCAACATATTACACGTTTAATATGTTGCTATATCAGTAAATCGATATTGCTAAAATGTATGACTTAATTTTACGCTGTAATTTTATTCATTTTTTCTTATATCATAGGAGTATTTTTAGCAAGCATAAAAATATAAAATTAATCAGCTTGCAAGTATTATTTACTAATTTTTATCTGCTCTATTTATTACCGCTTGAATACTTGAAAATAGAAATTCAATGCTTAATTGTATATAACCAATTAAAAATGTAGTTTCTTAGTATATTCTGAATCAATCGTGTATTTATAACAGAGTAAGCTTACTGAGTAGTCCTCTATCATTCATTTTTAGCATAGTTCTGTAAAAATAAAAAATGCAAAGAAAATTGCAAAAAGTGACAAATTTTATCAAGTTTCTGGCAATTTATTTTTTTTTAATATTCGGTCTAATTTCCGTAAAAGCACTATAGACTACTGTTGCGAAAATTCACTAATTTTTATTGATTTAAAAAGTATTATTTTTCAAAAAAATTTCCAGTTACGTGTCTAGTTTTTTCCAGTTGCGTACGGGCCCTGATATATGGCGCATAAGAACAAGTACATACATATTCAAATTTGCAATGGAAGTTTCCGATAGAACTAAGCTTTACATATAATGTATGCAATTAAGGATAAATACCCTTCCACATTTTTTATAAAGTTATATTTTGCATTTTTGTTTAATGGAATAGGTTCTTCACAAGCAAAATTTTTAGGAAGACCTAACAATATATTTAAGACAATAAAAATACTTTCTATTTATCGTTATAAACTATAAACAAAAAAATACTGAAGCTTTGAGTTTTTATCATTTTTACAAACAAATACTCAAGCGTGTTGTCCGTTAATGACATAAGTCTTCACCACAAAAAGATACCCAGCCAGTAGTCACTTTTTCCTAAAAAAGTGTTCATAACAAATGTTCACAAAAGAAAACTTTATTTATTTTTGATTGTGCAGGCAAAGTCCTATGTTTACTCTACTAATAATATTTACACATTATTTTTAAACTTTTGTTTCTCTGTTTCAGATAACGAGTTGATCGTAACTATTTTTGCTATCACCATATCAATGACTGCAGTAACTATGTTCGGAATAGTTTGCTGGCTGACTTTAATAAGGTAATGGTTATATTTATTAATATCTCGAAAGTCCAAATTCTTCGAGAATAAAACGTTTTTCTATGCGTGTTTAGAATTTATTTTAGAACTTAAATATATAATATATAATTCTTTGTAAAAGTTGATTATCATACCATAGGCGAGGTACTCAAACTATAAGAAAAGTGTCTTAATGCATGAACATCTGACTGATTTAAAATTTCTTCTGTGTAAGCTTTTGTTCTACTTTTATGCAATCTTCAAAAAAGTGCCTTCTTGTAAGAACTCCAATGATCTTACCATAAAAGTCTGCCAGTGGCAGCAAAAATTATACCATAAAATATTAAAAATTGATTGAATTGAAAATTTAAAAATTGATATATATATATATATGGGTCATTCTCACAAAAACAGTCATTTTCATGTCCCCAGTATATTTTATGTTTGTTTTACAGCTTACGAAAAAAAAAAATTCAGGGAAAGTGTCCTTCAGAATGCAAGCTAACAAAAGAATAAAAATAAAATTATCAATTTTTATTTTTTATTTATTTTAGGTAATTAAAATATACCAATATGTCATTCCCTCACTTGTCCCCACTGCTGATTTAAAAAAAGAAAAAAATTGTTTCTGAAATAAAATTTTTTTTTTTACAAATTCGTGTTTTTTATTTCAGAATACTGAAATATAGAATTCAGAAAATCAATTTTAAATTTAATTTCTGATAAAAATATTAACACAGCACTATTTTAAACTTTGTCCCCAGTGTTTCGCGTCATTCCCTCACAACAATGTTCTTATCACCTGCAATCTTCTTAGAATAAAAATATTTTAATAAAAACTTCAGAAGTTAACAACTGGCATCATAGAACAAAATTGCAGTATGTTTCCATCTTCAACTTAAAGAAGCTTTGCTGTGGAATAAATTTGAATGAATCAAACCAGGTAAAATTTTTTACATTTGTCATTCCCTCATGTCATTTTTTAGAGTAAAATAAAATACAACTTCATCGAGAAAGTGGATAATTATATGTTGCTTTCTTGTATGAATATAATTGTATGTGATTGACTTCAGAAATTAATTAGGCCTAACTGTTATTTTTAAATTTTATTGAATTCGTCATTCCCTCACTAGTGTATAAAGTGAGGGAATGACGCTGAAGTGAGGGAATGATTCAAGATGAGTATATTATTAAATTTTTTTTTGTTCAATCGTGCCAGCCAATTTTATTTCCCAAACCTGTAAAAACTATTAAATATATAAGACTAAATTATAATAAATATTAGATATACTTAGTATGTTATCATTTTCAAACTTTAGGTAGATGTAACTTAGATAAAAACATGTATTAAAATAAAATATCATTCCCTCACTATTAGTGTCATTCCCTCACTTTTTAAATAGTGAAAATAATTAATTTACTTATTAATTAATTTGAAAAATAAATTAAAAAATTAATAAATTAATTTATTAAATTAATTAATTTATTTATTAAATAAATTAATTAATTATTAATTATTATAAATTAATTAATTATAAATTAATTATTTAAAAAATTAATTAATTTAAATATTAAGTATAATTTATAGGATATATACTTTCTTTATAATGCCATTACATATTTCTATTAATATAAAAAGTTTCAGATCTTTTTATTCACTTTACTTTTTTGGGATTTTATGAACTGAAAAATGACAGTTTTCGTGAGAATGACCCATATATATAGTATATATAAGAAAAGAATGGAATGATAACACACAGCCAATCACAGAACACTTCTGGTTAGTAACGCACAAAACAGCCAATCAAAATTGAGAACGCATGTGTGTGAAAAGGTAATAATTTCTAATAATGTTGCCTGCAGAAGCGTTACAACTAAACTTACCAGCTAAATCTTGTTGTGATTTCTATTTTGTGTTGAATGCGTGAAATATGTTGATTCCTCTATTATCAGAGTCATATCTTTGTTATATAAAATGAATCGCCGTGAATTTCTTAGGCGTGAATATCTTTTACTTACTTTTAATTGTTTTTTACTTACTTTCAAAAAATTGTTCAACCAGAAATATTAATTAACTGTTCATATTTGAGATATTTCTTAAATAATGCATAAAAGTGCATCATTGGTTCGGAAAATAATGTGAAAAGAAAGATCAATGAAAAATGTACATAGCTAGGTTTTGTTAATATTCAGAGATTTATCGTAATTAATTTGAATTTTATTGTTTTCACCTTATTTTTTTCGGTTAAAATATACTTGAGTGTGCCCCTTGGCGAAATTGGCGACTCATATTTGGCGCCATTCCTGTTTGCGTAGAACACTGTGGTAACAGGAATGGCGGCCGAAACTTTATAAAATTGTAATGAACCCAATGTAAGCAAGATTAATTAACACAATAAAATTAATTTTGAATCGAAACAAAAATTAATAGAGTAAGCACATTAAGAAAGGGAAAAGAAAAAAAACTCACTTCTTCATTAAACTTCAATATCCTCAGAATTAGGTTCACAGAATTCTCTAATAGCAGTTAGAGACTGTCTAAATTTATCATGAATTGAATCTGTGTACCTCCATCACCACATAAATTCGGTGAAATACAAATCGAAAATGGCGTCTGTGGTACAGCCTGGTGGTGACATTTTTTTATAGTCCCTTTTTATGACTGCCCACATACCCTCGATCTTATTGACCATAAGCAAAAGTAATCTTACCAGTCGGTATTCAACGTAGAACTAACGGACTTCTGAAATTACGCATACTGTTGAACATTTAAAAATAAAGCTGAAATCTAAACCTATTAGAATCACGATAAGGTTTCAACGTGGCGAGAATCAAGGGGCATCCTCAAATATAGTCTACCAATTTTTTCATAACAATTCTGACAAAAATGTTTATTGATTATTGATAACATAATAATAATTTCATTATATATTTTTTTTTATTTGCATTCAGTATGACGAAAAAATTGAATTGCTTAATTTAATTTGTTGAATTTCAGTTACATATGGAAACTAAAATATTTTGTCAGTTACCAGTATTGAAGTTAATTGGGCAATTACTTGCAATGGTATTTGCTTTCGAAATATTACTTAGCTTCAACTCATTAATATTACATATTTTAATTTGTTTGCCATATCTGAACGTTTTTTTTTCAATTTTAACTCTTAAAATTTTAACTGTTTTCAGTTTAAAATTTAAATTACTGAGGGGGGGAGATGGAGCACCATGTAGGGAGCGTCCGGCATCCTATAAGATCAACAATGATTTGAGTTAGGCTCTGCCGCGCGTGCTTCGAATACGGAGATTAATCACCGACTATTGCCCTTTAGTAATGTGCTAAATAATATTGCTTCCTCGCATTATCTAAGTTTGTAGCATTGTTTGTTTCAAAATTGCTTTATACAAGTTTATAATAAGCACCTCTGGCATTTTACAATCCAATCATATTCTCTCTATGGGATGTTGGGGGATGAAAAATTGCCACCTTATCTCCAGGAAAAAGACTTTAAGTTTGTTCGAGAAGCGAGCAAAAATGTAATTGCGTAGCAATTATCGGGGATTGGCGAGCGGCAGTGAGCAGGGGGCGGAGCCCTCTAGTATATATATATATACATATATTGTACTGTCTTCTTTTTCTCAATAGCTTATGTATACTTTTTCGGACTCATGGATTATAACTGATTCAGCATTAAACTCATGACATTTCAAACCTTACTGCAAGTTATTTCTTTTATTATTTATTTATAAAGTTATTTCTTTTTAAATTTGTAGACACTGTTAGGGAATCACTTATGTCAAAAACGCTGCATGAATTTATAAACGCAAACCAAAGAGCCTTTTTTGTTGGCATATAATCAAACATTTGTTCATTTGAAACAAGACCTTTTTTTCTATTTTGTTGGTCATCACTAATAGTTATAAGTGTGAAGGGTTTGGGAATATAAATATTTAAAACCCGGGCACTTATTTGTGAATTATTTATCTTATTATGATTACATTTTATTGCATTTTTTTTATTAATCTGGAAAATTTGACTTTAACTATGTTGTAAAAAAATAAATCATTGTTAGAGATTATTAACTGCTGTATAAAAATTTTATTGATAAATAAATAAAAATAAGCAAATGCCTCAATGAACCCGCATTGAAATGTGCATCAAAACAAAGTTTAGTAAATTTTTTCGTTGAAAAGTGTTTTAATTTTGCCTTCTTTTAATTTCAGAATGAAAAGTAAGGTGTTCACTCAAGATCCCGAAAAAGTAAATCTCATATGAGATTTATGCGTGACATCTAAGAATATTTAAGAAATTCATATGTTGATCATAGAAAAGAGTTAATTTTTGTTACTATTCAGATGCTCTTGGAATGTATATATTTCATTATCACTGTCCTCAATATACATTTTTAAATCAAAATCCTTGTCAAAAATGAAGTAAACAGAACAGCAAAGACAAAGATGGAAACAAACTTTTATCGAAATTTAATAAAAATTAGAAAGGCAAGCAGAATAAAAGTTACAAAAAACAGTTCGATTTCTGTTTTTTCATAATTGCCTTACAGCCTTTTTCTGTTTATTCTGGAATTTTTTGATGTTTTTAATTCCCTCCTCATCAGATTTGATTCCTTAGATTTCTGAAGAAACTTCTATTTTCTTTTCACATTTAAAAGTTTGTTTACAACATCTAATTTGAGCGCACTTTGACTTCAATTTCGACAAATATTCCATAACTACTTAGTTTCATTAATACAGAAACTGTTACATATTTTATTATTTAATACAATTACACTATTTGGTTCTAACGTTGTTTGTAAATGTATTGAGAACGATACAATTTTAATTGAAAGCAAATTTAATTTATTTCTTTTCTTGACAAATATTAGAAAACTAATTTAGTTTCATCAAAAAAAAATATTTCTTAATTGTGCTACAAGATTTCGTTTCACTGGTTTTTTGAAAAACTTTTAGTTATCCGGATTGAAAGTGCTCCTGTTAATCAATTTTTAAATACGTACCGATGCTACTATTCGAGTTGGTGCACCGCTACCTTTACCAATTTTCATAGGAAATACATAAAGCATTGCACCTGCAATTGGAATTTCACCAACATTGGCTACATTTTCTAAAATAAAAGACCTACGCCCTAGAATGTAACCGTGGCATGGAAAATGCGTGCTTGTACCTGGATCAATGGACGCGGTGTCAGCACCTACTCCCTTGACGCTTCTGTTCTCTGCTAACCACTTACAAGCTTCAGCTGAGAATCCTGGAAAGTGCAGTTTTGTGGGGTCATCGCTTGGGGTGCCGAAAAAAGCGTCACGGTCGTGCCACCTTTGCCCCCAACCAGAGTTTAATAAAACTATAGTCCCATTCAAGCTCCTTTGTGTAGTGCGTTCCCAGTTCATGACATCCTCAACGGTAGCTACAGCATCCGGACAAAGTGATGCTTTTCGAGTAATGTCTATGACAGCTGCTTTCCCGAAGAAATAACTGGCTGGTATCTCATCAATGGTAATTTCTCCTCTGACAACATGTGCCGGAGCATCCATGTGCGTACCAGTGTGCGTAGAGGTGTAGAAATCCTCATATTGAAGCCTAAAATAAAAATAAAATAATAAAATTATAGGAAAGACATTTTTTATAACCGTCATTGAATAGCCGATCCAGTTTTCAGCTCACAACTGCCAATATTTCAACTCCGAAAACTTTTGATATTGAGTCCAATCCAGAAGACAAGCAAACTCCTGGATCAAATATTGGAAGAATTTTGAATGCGTGTAAGTTTTTTTGATGGAACTAACCAGCACTTTCCTTACATAGTCTGGGAAACCACGGAAACCTCCCATGTTTAGCCTGATGGAAAGAGAATACCAACATATTATCCGTCCACCACTGAGAATATTTTAAGCTACCACTGTGGGCGGTGCAAACCAGGTTCAGAATTCTCATTGACCAGCCATCGTTAGTGTTCAAACATGGGGTGACTTCATTTTGAGGCGAGAGCTCTATCCATTGACCCACCACGGCATGATAGAAAATTTATGATCGAGGAATATTTGTTAAGTTGATCATCCCTGTATATTGAACAATTGTCAGGTACCGAGACAGAGATGCCAACTTGTTCCGCTTTGTCAACAATCTTGTTCTCCAGTGGTTTAAAAATTTAGTAATTTTTTTTCTCCGTAAATCTCTATTTCGTAATAAAACCTTTTACAGAAAACGGAACAATTAGCCTCCTTGCCAAACTTGCAAAATCACGTAAATTCCCTTTTATTATCTGATCACTTGTTTAACCTCTTCGGGACGGGCGGGCATTCGAACAGACTCTTGATGGGGAAAAAAATAAAAATTGTTAGCTTACATGTGGGCTTATCAGTCTTATTTTTCTTTCATTTCAATTTTAATATATCTAATGAATGCAATAATCCAACAATATAATTCTCGTATTGGATTAGGTGAACTAAATAAGTCAAACTACTATTATCCTACCTAAAAAAACTTGCAATCAGTTACATCATTTTCATCCTTAATGTCGCCACCCTGGGAATGCATAGGTGACTCAACCATCTCAAGGAAGTTAACAGGACTACTAAAGTTTTTTCACGCAAGTGATGAACTTTTCTCTATGAAAATACAGAGTATTTTATAGAGGAATAACGTTTTTTTTAAAAGAAATAGCGTTTCTTTTTAGCTATGACTTTTCATTTATAAACATTCTTGTTAATTTAATATGAAACATAAATATTACATTGGTGTTACATACATTAGCAGGCTTGCTTCTCCAATAAATGTTTATAATTCTTTGTTAAACAACAGGTAGAGCAAATTATAGAAGGAAATCACGAAATTTGGAAGAGATTTGAATCGTCATTTCCACACTAAACAGAACAGTTGGTGGGGTACTGCTTTGCCAGGGTGGCTCTCCTAAAACGTTGACGAAAGGTAGGCCCTCATTTGAGGAAATTTATAACTTCCCGGAGGAGGGGGAGAGGAGAGAAAAGTGGTAAAGCCTTTTTTCTTCTATTTTCAATGGCGAGATAAAAATATTTTCATAATTGCAATCTTTCAGTCAAATGTTTCATTTCTCGTGGAATTTAATGAGAAAAATGGTATGAAAAATACCGAAAACAATTTTGAAAACAAAGACTTTGAAATGAATGAAACTTTACTTAAAATACCGCACAGTTCTAATGCTGTAAAATCTAAGCAAAATTTTGAACAACTCATTTAAACTGAAGAAAATAAAGATGATGAAACATTTGGAACATTGTATTACGACAAAAAGAAGAGAAACAAAGTTTTTTTAAATTAAACAATCAACGTTAGATAAACATATATTTCTATTTTTCAGAAAAAAAAGTCTGAAAGCAATATGCATTTCATATATTATACTAATCATGAGCTAATATTGAGCAATCACCTCAATTTAACGAGAATTTTTCTAATTCCTAAATATAGACCCTATTGCAGTATTTGAAATTTCAGGACTAAATAAATAAAAATAAGAACCATTTTAGACAGAAATAGGATTTTTTTCCCATGTTAACCTATGATAAATTATCTGTCCGGCATTAAGTAACTAATTGAGATTTGTGAATAGTTTTCGATCCATTTTATTCGTTGAAAATTTGTTTCGCTAAATTTGTATACTGTACCTTTTGAAACTGAGTTTAGTCAATCCTTTTTTTGGTACGTTAGAGTTCTATTCCTAAACTTATAATGTAAATCTACATGATAAGGCAACAAATAATTCTAAAAAAATGACATTTTAAGTTATTTCATTTTTTACATAGTTTTGATTTACGCTATCAACCAATAAGCATTTGAACACCTATGCAAATGACTGTATCTGCTGTCCTGAGATACGTCACGCTCTTCTAGTATGGATTCCCCATTCATGGTAAGCTCAACGCCGATTCCTAATGCACTATTTTGGATGAAAATGTGCTTCCTACGTTGTGGCAGCTTAACGGGATGGACCCCTGTTACTTCCGTGACGACAATGCCAACTGTCATGTTGCGAGGGTCACCAAGGCTTGGCATGGTGCTTATGATGAGGGAAAGAGCTTTGCTTCCCCGTCATTAGCCGTATAGTTGATAGTGGTATATATGAATGTTCACTTAGGCCAATATTGAATGAATAAAACAATAACAGTTGAGTTTCCAGCAAATGATGTACAAATCGTTGAATGTAAATTTAGATTTCATTAAGCATAATTTGTAAATTAGAAAATGGCCATTTCTTCAAAAAATAAGAAATCCCTTAAAGGGATGAAATAAGAATACTCTCTATTGAGAGATCATAAAGCCAGAACAACATTTCTGACCGTTAGAAAATTGAGCCTGGGGAGGCCCCCTAAAAGGGGTCCCAGCCTCACCAATTTAGAAATTCAAAGTGAATATATTTATTCTCAACGGACAGAGAAAGAGTATGGGTAGGAGATCCAAAATTTTGCGATTTATCACCGTATATCATAGCCAAAAACAAAGCCAACTAGCATATCCACATGGGTTTAAAAGAACACCTTGGCGATCACGAGTCGCCAACAAATTTATGTGAATTATTATAACCATGCAACCGAAACATTTAGCCGTTGGAAAATTAGAATAAAAAGTTATAAATAGATTTTTGTTTTCGATTAGAGGCGACAGTGAATTTATATGTCTGCATAATAATGAAATAAAAAGAAAGTATCCGTTACATTGATCTGGAAGAGAAGAAATAAATATTTTATGTTCGTTTAAAAAGATTAAGTTTTTGATTTATTTTAAAAGTAATTCTTCCATTAATAAAAATAAGCTTAAGTAATGAAGGATATTTTAAAAGATAGAAAATAAATATGTGTATGCCAATTCTGGCATCACAGTGCTAATGAGGTTAATCGAGTGGACTGGCCGGCCCAGAGTGCAGTCCTGAACCCTATCGAGAACCTCTGGGACGAGTTGGATCGCCGAATTAAGGGGCGTAGTACAAGTCCAAAATCGGTGAAGGAACTTACATGTCTTCTCCAAGCCGAGTGGAAGAAAATATCACTACACACAAGGACTTGTGGAAAGTATAACCCGGAGGGTTCACGCTGTAATTGCCTATTGTGGAAGCTCTGCCAACTATTGGTTATGAATAAAGTTTGTTTTCAATCACACGTGTCCAAATACTTATTGGTAGATAGTGTATGCTTAAGTTAATTTTTTTTACCTTGTGCAAAGAACTTATACACAGTTAATATTGTTATGTACAGTGGTCGGAAAAACTACAATATTTTTGTAGTTTACTACAACAATTTTATTACATATGCAGTTAACTACAGCTACAACTACTTTTTTTTTTCAAATGTAGTTCAACTACTTCAAACTACTTTCGAAATAGCAACTACTTCATTACTTAAGGGAGGTGAACGTAGCTGGAGAAAACAATTTACTGCCATGTTCAAAATGGTTTTGAATGAAAAATTGTCTTGCATTAAAAATAAGGAATTATGATAAAATATTTATTCTTGTTCACGCGAGCCAGTTTGTATTCTGAGATGTTATTATTTCAATTTGTTCAGTAACCCTTCAACATTTTATGATTTCTCGACAGCGAAGTTTTGATTTGAGAAATGTTAGGATATTATCAAATATTAGCAATTTTGTTAAGTTCTTAATGCTCTTTTATTTCCTCTTGGAAATTAAGGACATCGAAAATATGTTCCTTTCCTTTAAAATGACATCTGCGTTTCACAAGCATACATTCGCATGTGAAACGCAGTGTGACCAAAGTGATAAATGATGTATTATTCGTCATAGCTAGCTTGAATATTAGTTATACAACTCTCTAAATACACAATTCTTATTAACTCGAAGTCACAGTTGTATTTTAAATTGCGTTCACTAACAGAGCCGTGAAAATTTGTTACCACCAAATTCTATAAATTAATTGTGTTAGAACCCTATCTTTAACTAAATTAGCATTAAAAAAGTAGTTTTCAAGAATCTCTACAAGCTGCATTCTTTTGTCACCCTACACAACAAACGAATATAAAATTAGTGACTACAGTAGTTTTACGAATTGTAGTGTGATACTTCCGACCACTGATTATGTCACATAAAATACTTATTGTTGTATTTCAATAAAAGTTAAGGTGACAATAATTATTAAAATTACTTTTATTTAACAAATTTAAGCACTATTTTCAAAATTACTTTCTTCAAAAGACGATAAAAACCATTTCACTTACTTTACAGTTACTTTGTTATAAATATTTAAAAAGTTTTAACGGTTAGAAAAATGCGCAGTCTCGAAAAAAATATTAGCAATTATAACATAAAATAACATTAAAAAGAGCAACAAAACACATTTTGTAACATGTATTTTAAAAATTAAAAAATTATTTGGGAATTATCTAAATTTTAGAATTTGAAATGGGGGAAAATGAAATCGTTTATGAAAAGTTCGTAAGAGAGTTGAAGACAATACTTACCATTTTGTTACCAACTCTTTGTTGGGGCCTTTAACTAATTTTTCAATTTTGAATTTACTGTATATTGGATAACGTAACGTAGTTTCATCATATACATAAGTCATATCAATTAGCTTTCTACTTTTACGTTTAGCACTAGTAAAATGTAAACTTAAAATTGTGAATAATAGGACATGAAACAATTTCATTTCAAAATCGAAATAGAATATTAAAAATATTCGCGAAATATTTCAAAGTTGTGCATACATATTACAAACGAATTTCTTTTTAGTAACTGCAACTTTTAAATATGTGGGTTTTCTTATATGAAACGGAGTAAAATTTTTTGCAACCTAAATCACGAGTATTGATTGGATACTAATTACGCGAAGCATTTCTAAAATTGGAATGCATCGGTGTCTGTGCAAACAAGTTTTAAATTACATATTTCTGTATCGTGATGTGTGGTTTAACAAGCGGTATGGTAATAAGAAAAGTTCCAGACAGCACGGAAAAGTAGAAGAAAAGCACGCATTCCGAAAGAGTAATTACCTCTTTAATTATCTAGGAAAATTCTAGTAATCTGTATGAACAGTGTGCAACTCTTATATTGTTTCCTCACGTTATACCTTTCTTCCATGTTTATCAATGTGAAATGTCTGCTGGAGTTTCGCGTCAATAGTTCCCTTATCGCTATAAGCAGAATTTATTGTCGGTCGAAATTTCACAATTTTCGATTATTGTCAGATGGAAGCAAGTTTCAATCGTTTCGTGTCTGCTATCTTTAGTTTTTCTTTAATTGAATTACATGCATTAAATAGATTTAATGACATTATTTACAGGTTAAGAAGGTTTAAGGTCATAAAAAAATCCAATTAGTTATAAGTAGTTGAATTATTTTGTATTTTCAATAAGAAAAAATATTTCGACAAAACTTCGTATTTTTCCAACAGGCGATCTACCTTTGTAGTTATTTTAAGGTATATCGAACATTATTGAATATCTGGGAGTATCATTTAGCTTTAAAAAAAAGACATAAGTGTAGGATAAAACAGCCCAGTATACATTTGTTTAGTATATCCTACACAAAGAAGCCAACTTGTTCCGGTTTGGTAAGAAAATTATTTTCTAGAGGGTGGAAAAATTCAAGTTATTTTTTGTTTAGTATTTTTCATTTTAAATAGTTTTTTCACCACCACATATCTAAAATTCACACTATCGTATGAAATCCAACTTTATTGCAGTTATCTCTTGATTTCGAGTTGGAATTGATAGCTGCAGATTCATTGTTTTTGATCTCGGATTGAAATTGATTTTGCGAAAGTGGTTTATGAAGCTGAAATCGTGAAAGAAATTGGATCCAAATCGACGTGAAAGCGCGCTGCTCTCATGTGTAAGTTGAATCGCTATTGATATTCACTTATAATTTATTGACCATTTAATTTGGAGTGTTGATGACGTGTGTTTATGCCGCGTTCACAAACAATTAAAACAGTAAATATATCTTCGTGAACTATTATTTAAACTGATTTATTTGTGTTTTGTGCTACAACAGTGATACATAAGCGTGTAATTTTGCAAAACCAATTCCCTAAATACAGCGTCAAAGTATGAGCTCCGCTAAGACTATTTTATTTTTTCGGCAGCATAAAGTGCACGTTGAACCACAATGTCATTTTCTACATTACTGGATATCATTTTTGATCAGCGGTAGCTGCATTTATTTCAAGTAAGTGCAGATTGAATTTCATAAACTTTATATTTCAATCTCTGTGCTTACAATACCATCATAATGTTCAATACTATTAAAATCAGTGAAAGTGCCGTCCCCAGTTGGGTAATGGACACCATGGCTTTATTAAAACACCAACTGCAACAACAAACCTAACTCAATAAGTAGCTGTCTCAGCAACTAAATGACATCAATACAATATTTGAAAATAAGATGACTACATTGCAACAAAGTATCGATAAACTACAAGCTGAAAATGATGAATTAAAAAAAGAAAATAGACGTCTATAAAAAATCAACAAACAGAATACAGAATCAGAAATAATAATCCCAAGCAATTCCACGATTTCCATAGATACTCTAGTAAGAAAAACAAAAATCTAAAGTAAAGTTCAACAAAAGCCAATACAAATGACTATCAACAAAAAAAAACAATCAGTGTCGATGGAAAACAAATTAAATACCATATTTTCCAATTAAATGATGAAACACCAATCTGAGTTGTCATTAAAGGTATTCTGGTAGAAATTACAGAAGAACAAGTGAAACAAAACCTCATATTATATGGATTCACACCGAGAAAAGGTACACAGATGACTAATGGCCTAATCGAAAAACAGCATGAACTAAAAAACTTTATAATAGAACACAATCCTGATATATTCATAATAACAGAAACCCATTTAAATGCAACTCAGAATCTTAAAACAGATTACTATACAATTTACAAATGTGATAGAAGGTACAGAGGGAGCGACGTAGCACTTCTTGCAAAAAACAACTTATTAACAACAGAATATAACTCAAAAGATGACAATGGATATGAGCAAATTTCAATTTTATTAATCTACAGAAACAAGAACATCGAAATTACAGGTAATTGCGATTATCCAAAAAATAAACTAACAGATAATGATATGATTCTCCTATTTCCAGCCAATTGATTGATTGATTGAATGTAGAGTTTACAGGCGCACGAACCAAAAGAGTATATGCTGCACCAATTTCCAGCTGACATAGATACAATAGTTGCAGGCGACTTTAATTCCAAGCATCCAATACTGGGGTGCAACAACTTCGACCACAGTGCAGCTAAATTGAATGATCTTATCAGAAAATATCAATTAACAGTAGCAGTATCTCCAACTTACATTCCGAATCTGATTAACCATAGACCGGGCATACGATATTTCGCAATAACAAACATGCAAGTCCCCATGGTCACCTGCGCTCATAAAAATTTCTCATCAGATCATCTGTCACTTCAACTGTTCGTCGGGGAAACCATATAACTATCTGAAAAACTAAATTATAAAACTGACTGGAACCATTATCAAAATATTCTTACAATCAATGGAGCAGACCTACGATCCTTGGATAACGAAACTGCAATAGAAAAATATATACAGCAAATTCAGAATGAAAAAACAGATGCTTTTAAAAATGCTTCCACAGAAAACAAGCATACTACCCATCATTACAGATTATCACCTGAAATAAAGAACATAATAAGATTAAGGAACTCGCACAGGAAATAGAACTTACGACCCAGCACACCTAGACGAAATAAAATAACTCAATAATCAAATTCAAAAACATAGTAAAAATATAAAAAAAAACAACTGTGGCAAGCAAAAGTCTCTCCCTCTGTACCACTGACAACTCTACATGGAAAATGGCCAAGGAACTGAAAACAACTGCTCAAATAGACAGACCAATAAATAGACCATCTGGCGCAGCTTACACAATAGCAGCAAAATACGAAACATTCGCAGATTCACTTCAAAATTAATTTTCATCAAATATAAACTCTGGCCAAAATCATCACAACAGCATCACCGAAGAAGTTAATAATTTTCAAACTGACCTCCTCAACTCAGAAACAATAAATTCAGCCATCAATCAAGAAGTTAGCAGCATCATACAAAAACTTAAAAACAATAAAGTTCCAGGTGAGGACGGGATATAGAATAAAATGATTAAACTATTACCTAACAACTACATTTGCAAAATCACGCATATTTTTAATGTCTGCCTTGCTTACAATTACTACCCACAAATCTGGAAAAAGGTATCAGTCATTCTATTTCTCAAGAAAAACAAGAACCCAAGTTGCCCTGAGAGTTATCACCCAATCAGTCTACTTAACATACTTGGAAAAATATACGAAAAAATCATCTACAACAGAATAAACCCACTACTTACAGCTCTTCCCTACAAGCAGTATGGATACCGGAAAAAACTAGATACCACCAAACAGTTACTCCGAATAATAGACTATACTGGCAGAGCAATCATAAATGAAGAAATAATAGCCTTCCTGATGATCGACATATCCAAAGAATTTTATAAAGATAATAGGTGCACAATATATAAACTCATTCAGCTGAATTTTCCGCCAGGCATAATCAAACTTCTATCCAGTTATCTTTCTAATGGAACATTTCAAGTCACCATCCAAAACAAAAAGTCTACTAAGAGAAACATCGCAGTACCTCATGGCAGCATTCTGGGACCGATTTTATACATATTATATACTTATGATTTTCCCATAAACAAAGCCGATTATAACAGCAAAACAGCCTATTACGCAGATGACACCGATATTATTTTTAAATAAAGAAACTCAAATCATGCTCTTCAAAAACTACAGGACCATATATACGAAATAGAAGACTGGTGCTTAATATGGAAAACTGCAGTCAACGCAGGAAAATCACAAATATTAATTATACAAAAAATAATAATTAAAATATTTCCACAACTTCAACCAAAATGACTAGTGATTTTTCTAGTTAATTTTATTAAAACGCTAATATTATTAATTTTGAAAACTACCATCTCTAACTATGTAAAAATACGTAGCTAAAATAAAGTGATAAATTTTAAAAATTACGGTTAAGTATTAAAGTTTTCAATCAAATTAAGCTTTAAGTTTAATATATAGTGAGCGATCTCAAAAAAACTGCACTCAATACCTTTTGATCTAAGGGTTATATATAATGTGTCTATAATAAACCCGCTAAATGTGTGTAATAATAAATCCACTAATAAATAATAAACCCTCATTATAAATAATAAACCCGTTACCGCCGTGGTCCGAGGGGAGGGGCGTATGATCCAGAAATGATACACAGTGATAAGGGTGCCCAATTTGCGGCCCACGGTAGCGCCCCAGAATATAATAAGAAAATTTATAATTTTTTTGGAAAATAAAAAAATTATTAGAAATTTTGAATTGCGCCTTTTTTCTCGAGTCAAATCTAATAAATCAATGTAGTTTTTCATTTGCTTTTTTCGGTAATTATCGCGACATATTTCTGACCAACGAAATTTTAAAAATCCCAACATTTTTATTTCGACAAAATTATAATGCGTGAATTTCAAATTTTGATAATCAATTTTAAAGCTCTTTATTTGTGTCCAGTTTATAGTTAATCTAATTGACTTTTCGATCGTGTTTTAAGAGGTTATTAACGGATTTCCAAATGTTTTTCTAAAATACCGATCTTTTTAATGCATACATTATAACCGAATTAATCCTTAAAATAAAGTATTTATCACACAAATTTCCTTTTCTGAATTCAAAAAATTTTACTAATTATGTAAATTGTACCACTCAAATTATGCTTAATAACCGTTCTTCATACGAGGTGAATGAAGAAAAAAACTCTCAGTACTGAATAACACTACGAAATTCTAATTGGTTCTACTGTCCAATTTTTTAAAATCTGAAAAATTTCTCTAAACACCCAAGAACTGAAATTGCGAAACAAATAATAAATCTACTTCTAAAATCCACATGAAAAGGTAAAAATAAACTGTTATATATGCAATATTCGTTTATACTTACATGTTGTCTGGATTTTTAAATGGCTGACTTTAACTTTCGAAACGCTTGAAAATCTACATATTTACCAAAATCTTTGATCATGCCCTCTTTGATCATGCGATATCTGAAGTTTGTATTGTTTAAAAATTCTCCGGTAAGTATTTTAAAAAAAAATATTTGTAAAAGAAAGGAATAAGGAAACTGAAAGATAAACTGTAACATAAAATATGTTTAACATTGTAAATAAAAAAAACAAATGTTGTGATAGTAATAAAAGGAAATGGAATTAAAGGGAAAAATATGTCATTATCTATAACTTTAAAAGTTTAAACAAAGTACAATACATTATATTTTGACTAAAATGTAACACAAATGTAAATTGTTCATATTTTTTTCTTCAGATTTTTCTTTGAAATCCAAGGATCCAAACAAAGAACAGGGAAATAGAGACCGCAATCACGGGAGCATTGCAATGTTTTATATTAAACATAACTATTCAGTCAATCAGCACTGCGTTCCAAAAATAATTTCCTTGTTTAAACAGCTAATTTTATGTATTTAAAGCAGTTTTGATAGGTAAGATGCTAAGTAAGGCTGTATAAACTATTGCGGTTAACATGCTTTTTATTTTTTTGTTTACTGCTGCTGTTTTGAATATTGTGCGTGGTATTAATATACCTTCAGATCCAGTTGACGTGGGTAACGGTGAGCACTTAAGAACTTGCTTAAAATGGATAAAGTGCATATCAAGGGGTAAGAATATTTTTAAATCTACGCGTAACAGCACCTAGTTTTTTTCGTATTTAAAGCTGAGTTGAGGACTGATAGCAGAATGATTTTTCTAATGATTTGAATGTTACATAATTTTCCTTCGATTACATATTTCTGTTACCCACTCTTCATGAGCAGTTTGAAAGTGGAAAAAAATTGAACTTTAACTCAAAGATGTTTTATACCTTACTTCCTTTGTTCGCCAAACTCTTTGGTCTTTTTATAGGAAAAAAATTGTTTTTTTTAGACAGATTAATTACTTTATGCTGAAAATATTTATAGGTTTAATGTATCGAATAAATTTGTTTTAAGTTATTTTGTTCCATCAACTTCTACCCTGTAAAATATTTCCGTGTATCTTGAAAGGGTATCAACTTCTTTACAAAGTGGTGTTCCACTAAGGATTTCACTACATCAAGAAGCAATGATAGGTTTTGGTGTAGAGGAGCTCCAGCAATGACCTTTTATATTATTTGGCGTAAAATAGACTCCACTATTTCTGTCATCATTCCATAACATTGAATTTATAATTACTGTAAGATATGATAAGCATAAAAGCCAGTAAAATTATTTTTGCGATACAATATTAAGTTGGATATTAAACTAAGAATGCTTATAAATTTAAATTAGGATGCATTTACACCATCTTTCTTTAAATAAAATTTATTTATTAATTAAATATACAATCTTAGCAGAAATAATAACAATATGAAGTTGAATTAGACTTGATATAACTGAAATGATTAGCACTTAGATAATTGTTTTATACAATTGACAGATTTATATAAATCTTTTTATGAAATTATATCTATCTTTGTTATGTAACTAAAATGTATACATTTAGGGCGTATCGAAAAAATCGAAATTTCTTAGATCTTTCTGCGGTAGTGCGGAAAAGATGTGAATTCCTATTATTAAAAAATGAGCGGAATCTTAAAACTCTGGGTTGATATCTTCTGTTGCCTCAATGGGCGTAAAGTTCCAAAAATCGGACTAAAAATCATTAAAATAAAAATAAAAAACTGAACAAACCCATATTTCGTTTATCGGTTTGGGGTAGTGTTTACTAGTTGATTGAGAAAATGAGTTAGTTGAGAAAATGATTAAAATACAAAAATTAATACATAACCACAGATTTTGTTGATTGGTTTGAGGTACCACTTAAAAGTTTCAATATTTTAAAAGCAACAATTATTAAAAATTTTAGAATTACAGATTAATATCTTCTGCCGCCTCATCGGCATCTAATTTTGGAAATTTCGACGCACTTTGGTACTTTTTTGTATAACTGTTTACTGTTTGCACAATGCACAATCGAGACATACTGGATTTGGCGCTCTGCCAAAAAAAGTAGAACAACCTTATTTTGAACCCTATTTTGACAGTTCTTGTCAGTCAAAGATATGGTGTATCCAACAGAACCACGGCTGCTATAGCATGGTGTGTTCTGAAAGATTTGGGTTTAATATCGGATTCACATACCAGCCTCGTTAGAGACAAAAATAAATTTGGAGGGAAAAATCGAGAATATACAAAGAAATTGTCTCAAAATCAAATGAAAATCGTTCCACTATATATGGCCTTTTTTTTTGATAGACGACATGACAAAACTTTAACATCAGAAACATACGAGGGCAAGCAGTTCCAAAGAACAATTGTAAAAGCTTATTACTGTATTCTATCGGAGCCTGATTCAACGCACATATGGGACATGTTACGCCTGTAAGTGGATCTAGTCTTCATATATCTAATAACATTTGATTGTAACAGGTGATTTATTGGATGATTTTAGTAACCTTTTTGTTCTCGGGTGTGACGGCACCGTAGTGAACACAGAAGTGTTTAATGATGTAATTCGCAGGCTTGAATTGAAACTTCAGAGAGCAGTGCAATGGATTATCTGCTTACTTCATTTCAATGAGTTGCCATTACGACACCTATTTGAGTCCATTGACGGCAAGTCATCTGAGCCCACATCTTTCACCCGAGACATTGGACGGAGCCTCAAAGGATGCGAAAAGCTTTCAATTGTTGCTTCTAAAAGCATTGAATGCGAGATGCCAGGTATTGATCCCACCACTCTCAGTTCAGATCAGAGATACTTATTAAGCATTTGCACCGCCATTAGTTCTGGCGTTTGATGTTCAGATCTAGCTAACTGGGAACCATGAACATTGAATTCGGCTCACTGGCTACCAACTGCTAATCGAATACTGAGGTATATCTACATATCTACATCAGGTATGAGGTATGACATGAGTTATATCTACATATCTATTGATATATATCTACATTAGACCCATCAAACGAGTTGCTAACTTTAGTTGTATTCATTCTAAGAGTCTACGCACCCTCATGGTTTCGAATAAAGATTCATCATTCCATAAAAGGCAGTACTAGACACCTGTGGCATTTCATCAATTCATCTCGCTACTTGCCTAAAAAGTATCGTGACGTAATCAAACCAATTATTTCTCGCAACGCTTACTTTGCAGCTCCAGAAAACATGCTTTTGGTCATGTTAACGGATGAGGGGTGCCATATTAGGACCCTTGCAACTCGGTGGATTATTAAGGCAAGGGAAGTTAGCCCAGAAGGAAATTGTGTTCGAAGATTCGTTATTCCTGCTCTTAACTTTGGAGCAGCAGACTATGTAGATCTCATTGACTGGCAAGCTTGTTATGTGTTCTCCCGCTCTCAGAGAGATCAGTTCTCAAGAACTTCTGAAGATGATAAGGGACGGTATGCCAATGGACTGCTGGAACTTTATTAAATTTCCTTCACACACACAAGTAGTGGAGCGGATTGTGAAACTAGTTACAGCAGCTTCGGGAAAAACTGTTGGGCCACTGAGCAGGGATAGATTTATTAGAGCGACACTGGAATCCAGAAAACATATGTCGAAATTTGAGACAAAAAATGATTACAAGCAGTAATGCTTTTGTCATTTGTATGTTTAAGAGGTAAAATAAAGTCTCTCTTCCCATTAAAACGAGGTAAGTGTGAAGCTTATTTACTTACATTTTTTGCCTTCATTTTCCAAAATTTTGTGGCGATGAGGCGGCAGAAGATATTAAAATATAATTCTAAAATTTTTTATGGTTGTATTTGTTATAGAATAGCAACTAGTAAACACTACCCCAAACCGATAAACGAAATATGGGTTTGTTCATTTTTTTATTTTTATTTTAATGATTTTTAGTCCGATTTTCGGAACTTTCGGCCTCCTGAGGCGACAGAAGATATTGACCCAGAGTTTTGATATTCCGCACAATTTTTAATGATGGGTGTTCACATCTTTTCCGCACTATCGCGAAAAGATCTAAGAAATTTTGATTTTTTCGATACGCCCTAGTACACATGCTTTTTACAATAGTTTCATTGGCTAGTTTGTTAAATCATTCACACAAAATAATACATTTTGTCAAATAATCGACTACCGTTTATATTCTCGTCCAATCACATTGATTTTAGAATGAAATCCTCGAATAAATATAGAAAAAAAACATAATCTAAATAATGTCAGATAAAAAGTTCATGTACTTAAATTCTGAAAGATTAGAAAATCATAAATATTTCATAAATAGATTCAATTTTTTTTTTCAAAGGTGATTAAAGTAAAAAAAAATAAATTGCTTTTTGGATAGAATATTGTTAAAAATTGTCTATTGCCTAGAAACTTCGAGATATTATCTATCAACTATTATTTAAACCTCTCTGAGCAATCACAAAACATTATTTAAATTTATTTTTTTTTACAGTCAGANTAAAAGATTAGAAAATCATAAATATTTCATAAATAGATTCAATTTTTTTTTTCAAAGGAGATTAAAGTAAAAAAAAAAATTTGCTTTTTGGATAGAATATTGTTAAAAATTGTCTATTGCCTAGAAACTTCGAGATATTATCTATCAACTATTATTTAAACCTCTCTGAGCAATCACAAAACATTATTTAAATTTATTTTTTTTTACAGTCAGAGCTTGGTTTCTTAGCAACCAAGTGTAAGGCTTGCCACCACAAGATGGCGCTACGAGATGCAAGCAAAACTTAAGAATTAATTTTAAAAAAATATCTCTCTTTTGATTAGCTTGGTGTAGAAAGGATTAGAATGTCGTGGGAAGGAGCGAATCGTTTTTGACGATGTTATTTACTATTATTTCTATATACTTCCTTTTATGTTTGTGCTGTGGCATAATTATGTGTTTAAATAAATTTGTTTTATACCGAAAAAGGTTTAGTGAGAAAATTATTTCACATCATGAAAATTTGAAAAAGAACCAGCAAGTTTTAGTGGCGTAGTCGTGCTGCATATAATAGAATTCCTATACAGCCAATTGTAAGGCCTAATAATCCATTTGAGGTTTGGAGCGTGTATTGTATTGGACCTTTAGAGCCCCAATTATAAAGACGACACTCGTACGTCATATGTGCTATTGATCTGTGTTCAAGATGGGCGGAAGCCATACGGGTGAAACATATTACTGCAAACAAATATGAAACATATTACTTGCGATGTGCTGATGTCAAGATTTTCTGTCAAACTGGCTTCCCCAAGACTATATGTACTGACCAAGGAACAAATTTTACAGCACAGTTAAATGAAGCTTTTCATGACATACTGGGAGTCTCTCCTAGATTTTCCACTCCAGGTCATCCTGAGAGTATGGGAGCAGTTGAAAGATGGAATAGAACTCTGAAAAACATGTTGAGCAAAAATATCCAAGAATATGGGAAAGGATGGAATGCTCCTTGCTTACTTTTTGCATACAGAGAAATACCTCATGAAACACTGGAGGGTCGCCATATCAATTGGCTTATGGAAGGTTACCTACTGGACCACTAGCCATTTTGAAAGAATTTCGGACTGGTGAAAGAGGAATTCCTACTAATGCTGCTCGCTCTGCTGAAGATCACTTGAAACAATTGCAAAGGAAACTGCAAGATGCCCACTTAATAGCATCAGAAAATAGTTCTAAAAA